GTATGTATATGTGTGTGTGTGTGTGTGTGTGTGTAGTTATGTATGTATGCATGTATGTGTGTGTATATGTGTATGTTTGTATGTGTATGTATGTGCCTGATAATGTGTGATGGTCAGATGTCGGGTGTGTTGTCTTGTGTGTTATTGGTGTTCATTTCACATGTTGTTTAATTTCTATTGGTTTCTCTCTTTACTGTTCTTATATTTCTCTTCTACTTTTTCTTTTTCTTTCTTACTATAGTATTTTTAAAAAGCCACTGGTGATGCAGAAATTAAGAAAGTAACATTCAGTTTTATTTTCTACTGAAGTGGCAAAAAAAAGGAKGGACTTGGTCCAACAAAGAAATAATGGTGAAACAGAAAGCTTTACCTTGCGGTGTAACAGTTGTGATTGCGGACCACCTCCTCCCTCTATGTCGAAGCGAACTTTGTTAAAGAGAGCCACGGCAAACTGCTGCTCGTACAGAYGCCCAAACTCTCCCATCACCTTTTCAGTCCGGGCTGCAACACAAACACACAGTTTTACTTGTGCCAAATAATCAGAGTCTTTTCAGAATTTTAAACATTATTCTTTTTTATAAWGAGTCTTTAGCTGACTGCTGAAGCAAAAAAAAAAAATAGTTTAATAATTAGAGACAGTACTGTCACTAGCTGGCTCTTTCCAATAATAGATCTTTTTTGTCATTCTTCATTTTTGTTTCAACCAAGAAAACGTCTACAGTTCAGTTCCAGATGTTAAACYGATACAAACCTCTGTATGGGTGATGACTGGTTTGAAATAGGGGTGTCCTAATTCAATGTAAATATCAGATATTGATCCGATATTAGACAAAAAAAGGRATATCGGATTATGTTAGCCTGMATCTAAAATCTSTGATATTAGCACTGTGATACAAGCAGTCCATCCAGTGGTCTAATCAGGATTTCTATCCAGCATAAATAACTAAAGTGACCTTGAAGCAAAATAAATGTTGCTCTATTTAASACATTCACTGTGATGTCTCTAGTTTGAATATAGGGACTTGTTTTCATGCACTCAGCTCCACAGAACTGAGGGAAGAAATGTGGGATATTTTACTTTACGACTTTTTTTAATATTGCCATCATCTAATTTAATTTAAATTAGCAATCAAACACATCCAACATGAGAMACTGTCAGTGAGGTTATCCAGTCAACTAAGAGTCAAAAGAAAATAATGCATGTTATGTGTGAACAGACATGCACGGCAGACTGATTAAAAGCAAATTTTAAAAATCATAAAACAATGTACTACTCAAGAATAACATTTTTTATATGTTTCACTTTAATGGAAGTACAGGACTCAGCCTTGCAACCCAAAATCAATACAATTAATAAAAAATCTAACTTTAACTTTAACCTTGTGAAAATTCCTACATAGTGGAAGTTTAGTATGTTAACTTTCACACAGAGTCAAGTTTCAGTCCCTGCAGATCTGCTTACATTCCTTGGTTAAATACTTTCCTTGACCCTAACTGTGACTGAATGGTCTGACCCGGTCGTTGCGCAAACATTAAAATAATTCATCACTGTGGCGTCTCRGGGTTTTTTTAGGCCATGAGGGAAGTGAATGCCTTACAATCTGATAGTGTAAATATTTATGTATTTTATCATTAGGCTAACAGACAGGGGTGCATCGATTCCAGTTTTCTGACTGATTTCAGATCAACCATCTTTAAAAAGCCTGACATGTCGATTCCAATTTTCTGATACAAATATTTTAAATAGCTTACACTGAGATGTTATAAGGTCACAACTTCAATGTTCCCACTGTATTTTATTTAAAAACATTGAACAATACCCTGGAAACAATACAAACTTGTTTAAACTGGACATTAGGTAGTGCTTACAGCAGAGCAAAAGAGGACAGTGGCTGATTTTCAGACCTTTGTGGAGGTATTAGCCGATCTAAAGGATCGGCCCATTAGGGATGGGTACCTTTGACAMTTGAATCAATTCAGTACCAACATCCGGTACACGGGAATCAGTACTGGTACTTAACGGTACCAATTTTTGGTACTTTGTGTGTGTGTGTTTTTTTTTATAATAAACTTTTTTAACATATTTCTCAGTATATACAATTTAACAAATATCAAGACAACATCTAACTCTTCGTATTGTAACATCAGTTGTGTAACTTATTTCTTTAAGGTGAAAACTCTAGCTGTATCTATATGTAAAGGGGGAGAGAGGCTTCAGAATCAGAGCAGATGAGAGAGAAATAAATGTGAAGAGAAGCCGTCTGCCGTTTAGCACTGGGGGTCTCCTGCATGTCAATGTGTCTCTCCCTCTTACCATAGTGTTATTGC